AAGCGAGGGAATAGAGGAGCGTTAACGACGGCGCAGAGATACAACTATTCGTACTTGATGGACGTCCATGCTGGGTCTGAAAAATTGAAGGCGCGATGACGCGAAGCGTGAGCTCTCCATGTTCTGTTATATGCTGTCAATGAGTTGTCGCTCAAATTCGGGAGAAAAGTTGAAAAACAGGCCCGAATTCGTCTTTGTTTCTTTGATTTTTGTCAAGGAGACTACCTAAAAAACAGAGAAGTGAGTTTTTAAATATTTTAAATTTTCCTTGTATTCATTTTATATTTAAGTCTCTTCCTGTTCTTAAAGAGAATTCCTTACACTGCGATAAACTTGAAAATCGACCTTAATTTTTCCGAGATCGGATAAGATGTATTATGTAAATATCATTCAATTGTTTATTTGTTTGCTTTCCTTACAAAGCAAGTCGTTCGAACAAGCCGGTTAAATTTCCTTCAAATAGAGTGAACGCAACTTGTGCGACAATCCTATTGAGTGCGAGTGCGAGTGTCGCGTCTCGAGTTTTAGAACAGTGATTGTTATCGAAGTCAACAGGAGTGGAAAGAAAACTCGTCTGAAATAAGTTGGCTGAATTGCTCTAAATAATCTCACTAAAACAGTATCATGAAATTATTTTGTAAAACCAATCTTGAATTAAGTGATTAATTCTGTTTCTCCTACTGCAAATCAAATGGATTTCATTTGGTTCATGCCAAAGTTGGAAGGTGTTATTAAAACAAAGAGGATCAGAAAAGAGATAATTTAAGCATACAATTTTGAAGGTTGCCACTTACTTTCAATTTATCTGCTGAATAATTTGTTCTTCGCCAATAATTTAATTAGCTAATTTTACTATTGAAAACCACTCTGATTAAAGAACCTTGAAGACATCATTATGTTATCAGCGCTTATAAGATCGATTTTAAGAACAAAACCTGGGTACTTACTTACCTAGATGTCCTCGAAGGCTATAAATATGTATTAGTGTATTTGTGCCTCGTAGGTAATGTAGGCTCGTAGGTTAATCGAGTCGTCCAGATTTTGTAGCTGAAAGAAATTCCTCGGGGAGTTCCTGGGCAGAGCACTGCAGTGTCTACAGTGCTTCTGTAAAGCCATTACAGATAGAAACCCGGGAAGAAAGTTGTTACTGTTTCTACTCAGGAAATACCAGTATGGACGGCTTAAAGGCTTCTTTTTGAAAAAACCTAGAGAGAGCTTATCCACAGGAGGGGGATAGGTGGAGCGCGCCGATGAGAAGATTTGCCTATTTTCCAATGTTTCCTCGGGCTGTTTTACAGCCAGGAGGTAGAACTCAGAGCACAAAAAGCTCCGGATTATGGATTTGAGTCGGAGCTAGTGGATATCCCATGCTGCCGTGCGAGGGAAAAACGCCGTATGAATAGTCAAGTGTTGCCAAATTGCATCCAATAAAGTGTATATTTTTGAGGAATGTTATCAATATTTTCACTTACAATTTTTAGGCTATTCGTATCAAGTTACTAACGTAATTCCCTGGAAAATCGGTAGGAAAATGTCTGTAAATATTCTCGAAAATTCGTGATTTATCAAAGGAAATTTGGCACCGCCTGAAGGCTCATACGACGTTTTTCCTTAGCACGGCAGAATGCGTAGGGCATATTCCTAGGTCGACGGAGGGGAATGAACTAGTGGAGGAACTTTAGGAACGGAGAGCAAGAGAGAGGGAAAAGAAAGGGAAGAGTGCCTGGACTATCGGAAGCAGGCTGTGACGGGGCATTGAAAAAGCTCCACTCTTTCCAGCGGCGACAAAAGGTCCCTCTCCCCCATTGTTATCAGATTTGGCTGAAAATCCAGCTTATTTCCCCGTTTGACTCCATGTTCCCGAATCAGGTTTTTTCACACAACAAGACAAGTCTCTCTCCGGAGAGCGTGGGGCTCGAGTCTCGTGAGCCTCCGACTGAGGCCGATTTGAGTCACTTGAATACTTTTCATGGCTTTTTGCTTGTCTGGCTTATTTTCACTCGAAAACAATAACATCAGCTCCAACAATGCAGAAGCGCAAGTTCCGACCCAAACTTCCCAGCGCGAGCCTCGCCAACTGATCTCAAATAAATGCACAGTAATTTTTCCCCCCTCCCCCTCCCCCCTTTCCCTTTTAATATGCGTTTCACTTTCACCGAGATGCTTTGTCATCTTTCAATTTTTCACTGCACAATCTTAAAAGCTCTCCGCGAACAATGCGTCGAGCATTTCTTCCACGGCGCACGCGCTTTCCCCCGAGCTGTAGATATGGGAGAGAATTTCATGGGATGTGTTTTAAACGGTTGCACCTCCTCAACAGTTCCTGAAAACTACAACCAGAGTCTTGTTTTTTTATCTTTGACTATCTTTGACTTAGACCCAAAAAACAACTTTCACCGTCCTCTTAAGCTTTATATTTTATTTATCAAGACATAGAAACTTTTTAGAATGAATTAATTTTAAAAAAAATTAATGACTTAAATTCAAAAAATACTATTAAGATCACGGTACATAATCTGTCCCCGTAATTTCAATTATTATTAATCCAATCATTATAATTGTTCAATCTAAGTAGTTCATTTGTGGCGATTTGATTCTCAGACTTTTAAAGTGCGGATAGAAATGTTTTCAGCCTCACGTCAAAATAGTCTTCATATGAGTCCTATTAGATACTTGCCATTATTCATCTTCCAACTTCTTCAGTAAAATATTTAGTTCCGACATGGAATGAGCCACTTGCAGTAAATTCCATTCTCACTCATCGAAACTCCGAGTAAATACTCATCCATCCACGTTTTCATTCGAATATTCATGCTTTCTCAATGCACGAAAAAATTTTGTGACTCATTCCGTTGATTCTGAACCGTTTAAAAACGAAATAAAGACAGTCGACGCTATGAACCGGCATAAACAAAAAAATTGACCTGAGGTAGAGGATGTTCCTCCTTAAGATTAGCGGCATGAGCACATCCGATATCTCAAGGCTCACTTCATATAAATAGTTATTTTGAGGGAACTTTAATCCTCTGACAGTTTGCTAATTATGGAAATGTTAAAAGATAGCGCATGATTGTCTCGCTCATGTATTGTTTGAAATGAACCGTAAGAAATCTTGTCTATACTATCCTTCCGTTGGATATTTGATTATTGCGTTCCCCACATTGTGCTCCAAGTTATGGCCTATTCATGCTGCAATTTTCAAGTACTTTCGGTTAGATCATCCTATCTTAGGCGGATTCAGGGAGGGGAGCGCATAAGGGGCGGGTATCCTCCCTCTCGGCCGAAAAAACCCGAAAATACTCCTGAGGGATGATCTACAAATCCATACCCCCTAGACTCCCCAGTGCATGGGTGGGGTCAAGGAAAACCCCTCACGTCTGAAATTGCTGGATCCGCAAATGTCTTATCCCACTCGTGACTTAAAAAACTGAATAATTGTTGTATTTGAAAAATTCGCGGTTTGTTTCTAATTTTGCGACATTACTTTTTTGGAAAATTACACGAGTATATTGTATGAAAGTTCCGAGCAAACTTCACAAATTTTGGACATTTTCCAGAGGGAACAAATAATTGTTTTTCTTAAGAGGTCGACGTTTTGCCCCTAGATAAGGCAAGGCCCAGCATCTCCTCCTTCACACCCTTGAGACACTAGCAAGGTATCTCTTGACCCCCCCCCCCCTTCGATGCCTTACGTAATTTATGGACGGTCCCTCAATTATTGATTTCTCAAAATTACTTCATTGATTACCAATCAAATTAAGTAAATTACGAAAGCTACCGTCACGAATCAGGCAGCTAGATGACATTATTCTTGACAACACGAATGAACGTCACAAACGCTGAGTTATCATTTCTCATAATTTATGCATAGTTTGGCCGCTTACCCAGCCGTTGGACATCTTCGAGACTACGTATTACCATTGTTGCTTTGTGACTCAAAAAAGAAGAATAACTTCAGCCGTCAGTAAAATACTTTTTCGTGGAATCATTAGTCTGGAATTTGGTCGAAGATGCAGTGGGATTCACAGCTCATTTTCTGCTCTCTAAAAACTACCCTCATCGCAAAAAAAGTTTTTTTGTTTTTTTTTTTTAGAAAAAGCAAATACTACAGCTTTTTATGTGAATAATTTTGTCTGATATTAACGCAATACAATGGTATTTACAAGTGCTGGTCTATTTTGTGGCTCTCATCATGGAAGAGGTCAAATTAATGCTTGATCAACCGATGCATCGGCTTTCAGGAGTCAAAAATTCTCACACAGTACTATTGCGATTGGACAAGTTTTCTTTTCAAGTCTTCTGGAGCTTTCATTTTGAAGATTACACATGAGAAGTTTTGCTGGATCATTTTTTTTTACGTTCGCTTGTAAATTCTCTTTAAAGACTCCTCCCAATCTCTTGAGATCAAGATCGTCGGAATACTTTGCCTATCCACATTCCACAGTACAGTTTTGCTCGGATATTTAAAACTCCGAGTACATGCTTTAAAAGAGATTTTTTTTCTCTCAACTCTGACTTATTTCCCCTTCTTCTTCTCCTTCTTCTGTTCCTAATTTTTCCCAGTTATAATGTGCTTTACATTTGATTTTTCCCCCTTCTAATTTAAACTATTGCATTTTATGAGAACAGGAAGTTCAATCGCCGATAAAGCTCAATAAAAAAGGGCTCGATAAAGAGATTGAAAGTACGACTATCATCAATATGTTAAAAATGATTTTTTTTTTTAATGTCTTCACATGTTTTACTTCCTTTACAAGCACGTATGTGCTTAAATGATTTTGCCGCAAATTGGGGAAAAAGCTGACAAAATCATTTAAACAATTCCAATGTACCAGCTGAGGTTTCGCGCATAATGTTGAATTCGTTGGCGCTTAGCAAATATGTAGCTCTGACGTAATGTATGGATAAAAGTAAGAGCACGTCGTCACGATTTATGACGTCATGTTGTCATATTGCATTTCAGTGAAGACCATAAGACGGCAGCGGTTCGTAGCTTGTAGCTATGACGTAGCGACTAAGTTATTGGATAGTTAAGTGACGAGGGAGATAGACCGGTTGAAAATGGGAATATCTGGACGGACGGAAGATGTTTGGAAACAAGGCCGAATTCACTTTCATTCACCTGCTCTTCTCCTTCTCCCACCATATCCTCGGCTCTACGCTCGATCTCCTCCGTCAAGCGGTTCCAACATTCCTCGTTAGTCCACATTCTCGTTTGTTCCTCATTCGTATCTATTTTGTTACGTCTCCTCTAATTGTTACGTGACATTCTTTATTTCAAGTAATTTCAACCCAGTTCAAACAATATGAGCCAGTGCCCTAAGTGCGGGAAACCTGTTTACTTTGGTGAGCATCAATATTTTGTATAAATGTAGTTCTTGTTTTAGACAAATTGCTATCGCGACGATAGGGTACCCGCAACTCATTTTCTTTTTGTTTCCTGTGTGTGCTCAATGATTTAGCTATTACAGAGGCTCGAATTCAACCAAGATCGGATTTTGAACATCGAAAAGTTCAGATTTCGTCTCTCCGTTTATTATACTCATTTTTTACCCCAGATTTAGTCTCTCCATTTCATGAAAAAAAAATTTCCCCCAGATTTGGCCTCTCCGTTAATAAAAAAAAAAAAAAAAAAAAAACATTTTTTCTTCCCTTCCTACGTGTAGCTAAACGTTAAATTTTTCAAATGTATTAATCTTTTTGAAAAAAAGGCTAGATATTGGAGAAACTATGGTGGATTTTTTAACACATTCCCGTTTTTGGTCCAGGCTTCGTTCTGCCCACTTATTATGCCTCTTTCGTGTCATCTTTATCCAGCCAATTGTTAATTTGAAAAACTCAAGTTTAAAGGCGGGAATAATCGAACATCTGTTAAACAGTCCATTGGGGCTGAGCATTGTGGTCAAAATGTCAGATTAATTGCAGGATTGAACTCTCTTTAATGTTTGTATTGAAACGGAGACCCGCTTTTTTTGACGTGAGAAAGTCCGTAGGTAAACTGCAACCCCTAATTAGGCATCTATGATCTGTTAAAACATTACAGCCACAGGCGTACCCCTTAACATCTGAGCAATGCAATTTTATTCTCAAGTCTCCTTAAAAAAGAAAACAAAAACAATTCCATAAACTTAGGAATAGTGGAGAAGCCCACACCTTCTTACACAGGGGCCAAATATAGAGGTGATTACATTTTCTGAGGAAACTCGCATTCTTCGTATTCTCATCACCCTTACGTGATCCAATCGGGAACTTTTACACATTTTTAGATTCAAGTCTGTTTGGGCGAAGATGAATTATGAACGATTGCAAGCCACCATAGAAAGCCGATACGCGTGGCCAAGTGATTAGATTTTCATCACATCATAGACAAAATTCATTGATTTTCATGTCTCCTGGGGGCCAATTTTTCCCCCTGTCTTTTTCAAATTTGTCAGATCCAAGAGTTTCTTTGACATTTTAAAATAATCTGTTTGCGCGTTCTACGAAAACTGATAGAAAATACATTGATTTCAAGGAAATTGTGACAAATTATACTTGGAGACTGAAGTTTCCGGTCAGTTTTTCTTCGCCTAACATTTCGTCGCTCATCTGACGTAAAGGCGTATCTGTATATCGACATGAACCACGGAAAGCATCTAGTCTTACGCTGCCGTGCTAAGGAAGAACGCCGTATGAACATTCGAGAGTTGCCAAATTTCCCTCTACAAAATGTTTATTTTTGTGGAAAAGTTATGAATATTTTTCCTTGAAATTTTCAGGAACTTCATGTGAAATTGCAAACAACATTGGCGGACAAAAATTGGAAGACAAATAGTCATATGTTTACAAGAAAATTCTTGTTTTGGAAATGGAAATTTGGCAACGCCTGAGGGTTCATACGGCGTTTTTTCTTAGGACGCCAGTACGGAGCACATGCATAGCTCATGGGAAAATTGAGATACGCCCTACGTCAGAGGTTCGACGATTTGTATGCCGTGTTACACTCTGGATCCTTCAGAGCCTTACTGGGGAAGAACGCTGTATGAACTTTTGAGAGTTGCCAAATTTCCTTTGATAAAACGTTCATTTTTTAGGAAAGTTATGAATGTTTTCCCTTAAAATTTTAAGAAACTTTTGGTGAAATTGCGACCAAAATTATACTTGAAAAATGGGAAGGAAAATATTCACGAGTTCACCGGGAAATGGGCCTGTTGCATGCAAGAGATACAGCCGCGCGAATAGACTTGCTAGAGGTTAAATGACACGAAAATTACGATGGTCACATTACAAAAGTCTGAAATACACTCCTTACTGCGCAATTTGAGTTGTTAGGAACGCGCTTTTTCAAATTTCCCGCGTCTGGGGGCAGTTTTCTAATCATCGGAAACGAGCAAACGGCGGGCCCGGTGATTTCCGGAAGATGCCGAGTCGTCGTTGTTGTTGTTATTTTTTCCTTCAGTTTGTTTACAAACCCAACGTGATCTCTTATAGTGGTCCATATACGCTTTATGCGGTAACCAAATCGATCAACCTTTAAATATCCAACGCAATCCTTTTACATTTCATTTCACGATATCACGAGCTCCGATTTTTAGGTTATGTTGTCAGTACCGGAAATAGCCGCGAGTTGCAGTTAATTGTTCCCGTTAGAAAACTGCCCCCAGACGCGGGAAATTTGAAAAAGCGCGTTCCTAACAACGCAAATTGCGCAGTGAGGAGTGTATTTCAGACTTTTTTAATGTGACCATCGTAATTTTCGTGTCATTTAACCTTTAAAAAGTCTATTCGCACGGCTGTATCTCTTGCATGCAACAGGCCCATTGCGAACAAAATTATCTGAAAATTTTGAAGGACAATACTCAGAAGTTAACCAGGAAATTCGTGTTTTATCAAGGGAAATTTGGCAACGCCTGGAGGTTCATACGGCGTTTTCCCTTAGCACGGCAGTCCAGAGCCCATAACAGCGACTAAATGAAGGTGGATTGTTGAAATAAAATGAGGCCGGTAACCTTGACAGAGGAATTTCTAATGACAGGTCCGTTTTCTTTACAAAGGAGAGGGTGAATGGGTGTGTTTTCGAATAATTTCGTTCTTTTCATTTCCGCACGTTCTTCTGGTTGCTCCGTTGATTGCAGAGAAGCGTTAATGTGTGCGTTGCGCGCAGGGTTGCCAATTGGGGATCCGAAAATCCAAGCACCTACTTTTCATCCGGCCCGGTGGCCTCCTAAAGATTTGAGATTCGATGAGGATGATTGAGTAGGACTGAATGCTGCCGTGCTGAGGAAAAACGCCGTGAGAACATTCGAGAGTTGCCAAATTTCTCTGGATAAAACGTATATTTTTGAGGAAATTTGTGCTTCTTTTCCCTTGAAATCTTAGCATATTTCAGATTCAGTTGGGACAAAATTGTCCGAAAATTGTGAAGAAAAATTGCAACAGTTCGCTCAGGGAATTTGTTTTTTATTGAAGTAAATATGGCAACGTCTGAAGGCTTATATGGCGTTCTTCCTTAGCACGGCAAAATGGTTCTTTATTCTGCTTACGCTTGTATCTCGTTTCGTCACCACTGCTCTCAACCTATCTCCTATCTCAGTTCGTTAAATTCTGCCTTTTTGTCCAGTTCCTTTCGAATTTTAAGCCCCAAAGCACTGAAAATCTCGAGCTTTTTCGAATTGATTTTATACTGTTATAAATGTAAAAATAAAACTACATCGTCATGTTCACACGATCAGATGGACGAACAGTGATCATCGCAGCAGTCCTACCGGATTGAGATGGGGTCCGCTCCTGTTTCTTTCTTACCTGGAATTCATGATCTAGAATAAGTGAGTTTCCAGGTAAAAAAAAGCGCAATGGTCCTCATGACATTCCGACGACACTATTGCGATGATGACTTGATGATGTACTTGTAACTGTCACGATCTTTTGAATATCACGACGATTTTTTACTATGAAAAGAAGGGAACAGGCGCACGGGGAAAAAAAGAACAGTTAATTTAACGAAAGTGTCTACTTGGAACTTTTCTACGTTGATTTAACACCGAAAAATCGTTGATCCAAATAGATAGGGTACTTGATGTAAAGGGACGTCTCATTTGAATCAACTGGACTAGTCTTGCTGAATTTTTTTCAGTCATGCCAAATGGGAAAGCACTGTTACCGTAACTGGAATTCCATGTTCCTCACTTCTGACTGATGAGGCGTGTTTACACCTTAACATTCCTTATTTCGTCTGCATGAGATAACGGATGCAATGCCGTAACGGGAATGGTGTTAGGCTAGGAATCGATAGATCTCGGGTTTAATCCCCAGATAGGTCCCAAAATAATTTAATGCGCGAAGAACTTAGGCAGTATGTATATCCTATATAATTGTAAATCAAATTAGGTGAATACAATTTTGTGATTTGGAATGTATATTTTATTTAATAAATACTTACATGCTTTCAAAGGCCAGAAACTAAGGGCAGAGTCTCTGGAAATTTTCCAGTGATACCAAATAATTTTTCCCGTCATTTCAAGGATATTTTCCAGTTAATCCGAGGATAATTCCAGTTACCGCAAGGATTCTATCCATTTAAAACAAGGATAATTTCCAGTTACTTCAACTAGAAAAAATCTAACTGACTATTCCAGTTGATTCAAGTATCATTCCATTCCGGGAAATATTCATTGGAGTAGTCTCATTGGAACAAGTAGTTTTCTGGTTGATCTGACTAAAACATTTTCTCAGTGTAGGATGTTTAGGTACATATCCGTAGTCTATGCTGTCGTGCTAAGGAAGAACGCAGTATGAACATTCGAGAGTTGCCAAATTTCCGTCAATAACATGCTCATTTTTGAGGAAAGTAATGAATATTTTTACTTTAAACTTTCAGAATCTTTAAGTGAAATTGCGAACAAAATTACCTGAAAAATTGGGAGGAAAATATCCATATGTTGATCAAAAAATTCGCATTAAATCAAAGGAAATTTGGCAACGCCTGAAGGTTCATACGGCGTTTTTCCTTAGCACGGCAGTATGGTGGGGATATCGCAAGTTTTTCAATAAAAAATGTGATCCTCCCCAAATGCAGGGAGTCTGTAAGGTCTCCACTTTACAATTGTTAGATATTAGGTGAGAGGCACGCATTTCTTGCATAGGACGCTTAAATCCAGCCTTGATTTTAAGTAAGACACTTAGATTTAGAGATCTCGTTTTTAAAATAGTCTCATTTTCATTAGTCCGCTTGTTTTGACTCCGCATCAGTCCGCGTTGCTATTATTTCGAGGGAATGGTCGGGCTCCTACGAAATTCTCGTTGGATTTAAAGGTGTTATGCATCCAAATCTCATTGCTAACGTGACAACATTGCTGAGCGTACTATTT